GCGAGTGTGTGTGTACTAATGGGAAGTAATATATATATGCATATGTATGCTCATACGTGTATATGTCAACGATAATGGAGTTAGTTATTCAAAGTATGAGGATGCATATCTTTTTCTTCTTCTTTTATTTGGAGTAAGTATGAATACATACATATGTAAATACTTATATATAAAACGTGTCGTCATAGTAAATTTTAACGGTATATTTAAAGTAAGGCACGTTAAGAATATTTATTAATATATTATCGCGTGTTTCTTATATATTTGTATATTGTAATATATAGGCATGTATATAATTAATATATAATTAAAACATTATATATTTTATATTTTACATAATTAAACATTAACATTAATTTACATAAATAACATTAATATTATTGTATATACATACATATTATTGTCGAGTGTTCGTAAAGATTATCTTTTATTTTTCAATTAATTATCCTGTTATTTCTTATCGTAAAAACAATTAATTAACCAATTAACCGTGGTAACCTCTTTAAAAAGTATGTACATATTTAAATTGTATGCAAAAAAACGAATTAATTACGAATATGTATCAGACAAATACATATAGAATACGTATAACTGTTGTAATATATAATTAAGTTGTAATCAAATGATTGTCTTTTTTTTTATATCAAATTAACAATTTTATTATTAACATTTATTTTGTTTACTTAATTTATGCAGAAAGAAATAAAATTTCTTTTTTAAAAATCAATTACTTAGAAAAGCGATTAGTTAGAAATTTAATCTGTTGTTGTTAAATGATATTAAGTAAAGGAAGGTGTAATGCATAATGACGTTTCGCAAGTAGAACATCAATATCTTGATACTTACCGAATATTATTTTTGTAACAATGTAAACATCTTCTTCTAGGATTACTATTTGAAGATGTGCTTGGTGTATAATCTGGAAAATGTTATCCGATTACACGTGTAGCGTTAGATTTAGTTGGCCAAGTTTGTTCGAATTCGTTCACACTATATACAGTAGTATTTTCATAATCGTTATTTATATTCCTTCTTTTTTGGTTCGTTTTAGTTCGCGTCTTGGTCTTCGAATATATTTTTAAAATATTCACAAATTTATGAATATATTTTAGTTCTTATTGATATTGCAATTTAAATGACAAATGGTAATTACTTTTTCTACATGACGAGATACTCGTCAATCATGATTAACCGACTATTTATAGTTTCGTTCGCGTATTATGTGTATATATTTTTCAATTTTTTAAATTAAATACAATATTTTGTATTCGGTTTATATTATACACATTGCTATAACGTAAAGAATTTATTTATTTAACTTTAATCAGAGGTAATAAAAATAAAATTGAATTAATTTTTTAATATTACAATATAATGTCATTATAATTGAAAAAAAAAAATGTTGATTGGTGGTAATGTGTTAAATTTGAGAAAGTAAAACCAGATATCAAACGTTTTTATGTTGTTTCCGCCGGAAATGTAGATGAAAGATAAGCATTTAATACTCTATCCAGATGAAGAAACGAACAACGAAAAAAAAATGGAATAAAATACCCAACATATATAACTATATACTCTAATTTATTACAACTAGACTAAATTCTTCTTATTAAAAAACATTGAACAATGGATAATAAAAAAATAGTGTGAACACAATGAAATGAAATAAAATTGAAGTAACTCAGGATGAGAATAAAACTATAATAATATATAACAATAATGAAGGAATCAAATTTATTAATCGAACAATTTAAAGATACATTAATGGTAAAAATCGAATAAATGGGACAGAAAAAAGAGAAAACAAAAAAGGAAGTCGAATGGAAAAATGGAAAAGAAGAAAAAACAAATCTAAGAAATTGTGGATGGTGACCTTGGCATTTGGCCGACTTCCGCATTGTTCGCAAGTGCAACAACTCCTTACGTGAATTTCTCGTGTTCATTCGTTCCTTATTTCCTTCGTTTGCTTGTGGCAACCAACAAAGTTCTTCTCTTCTGGTTTTGAGATCAGTGACACTGATTTTTTTACTCGTATCTCCAGGTTCGATCCAGGTTCGATCCTACGATCCGTAACGAAATCGAAACAACCGGCTGAACATGAGAATAAAAAACGTAAAAATGAAGTCAATGTAATAAGTCTTACGTGTTAACTTGAGAATCTCTTTAAAAAATTACACGACGTATAATATTCATACTATTGAGTATTATTCCATATTACTGTGTATAGTATGACGTTGTGCAATCATTGCTAATTATTACAGTGCGTGGTTATAAATTTACGAGAAATAATTATTATCGATTAACGTTATTCGCGAAACAAACAACTCTGTCTTTTCTATTTTTTATCTATTCAAATTTCAAAGTTCTCAGGAATAATAATGAATTTAAATATCTTTTAAAAGAACCTTTTTTTTTTCTTTTGTAGGAAATATTTTCTCTTAAAATAATTATAATAATTGTATACACAAGTATATATTTTATATTATTAATATAAATAATGATTATTATCGGAAACATTATTTTTTTTTTTTAATTGAGAAAAATATAATAGAATTTTTAAATAATTATTCTTCTCTTACAAAAAAAAGAGAGAAGAAGACTATAAAAATAAAAAAAACGGGCCCGTTTCAATCCAAAAATGCTTATATCCTTTTGAGAGAATCCGTTAAAAGAAGAAATCGTGAAATGTTCCATAAGAGAGAGAGAGAGAAAGAGGGGAAAAAAAGTATCGTGGAATGGGAGAAGGTTTGACCTTGGCAGGTAGTCGAGTTCCGCATTGCTCGCTCGTGGTGGTTGAGTTCTCCTTCTTTCCCTCCCTTCAAGAAGGTTTCTCGGTTAGGTTTTCTCATCCTAAAGAAAAAAAAAAGTAAAAGAAGACAAAATAATACGAAAATGGTATATTGCATATTTTCGTAAAATACTTTGAAAATACTACTTACCGTATGTTCCCTTTTTTTTCATTTTTTCCATGGTTATTGTTTGACCTTCAACTTGACCAGTAGTACATCATAGTTGTGTCTCGTCTGCCAATGAACGTCCTTCCTTTTCTTGCGGATGTTTGACGTCGTAAAACAAGTCGTGTATTATTATTTTTAAGTCTTTGACATTTTTCTTTCAGTAATTTCCTTCAGTATACTCCCCCCCCCCTCCCTCTTCAGTCATCATTTATAGGGTCAATATTTTATTATTATTCGTTCAAGATATTATTTTCTTTGTATAGAAACAAATTGTTTACGAAATTGATCGTTCGTCGATGATTTTTACCTACGATTTCCGATCATTTCTATTCTCGATTCATACTACTCGGATAAATTTATCGAGAAAAAGAAGGAATAGTGGTGGAGAAGAGGCCACATGGTATGGGATAGCAATCGTTCCGCATTTTGGTAGTTTACTGACCTCAAAGTGGAACGAACGCCTCATCGTTTCTTTCTCTTGTATTGGTGTTGAATTGTTTTGTTTTTTCTTTTATTTTTTTTTTTTTTTTACAATTAATCGCGATGTTACATTTCTTTATTGAATCGTGATTATTGTTCACGAATTAATAAGTGAATATATTTTTTAAGTTAGTTGTTTTAAATTATTAATAAAAAGGTATTTTAGGGAATTTGGACATTCAAAAGAAATAGAACTTCGTTTTGATAAGTTGCAACAACGTTTATTAATATTTTTTAAGATTTCTTTTCTTTTTATTTTGTTTGTTTGTTTGTTTGATGAAAGTATTATAATAACGACGAACATATTTTTCTATATCGATCGTAGAAACGTTTATTTTAGGTATGGATAATAATATTTTAATGATAATTAGTTATCTTACGTTTATAAATAGGCCATGTAATTAATGTATATGTTATAAGAGGTTTTTATAACGTTCAGGTGAAATGTTTTTTTGACGTGTTACTAAAAATATCACACAGTATAACGGGCGTATCATAAAAATAATATACAATGAATTCTCTCTATATCAAGTGGTATTTCTTTAACAATACTTGTCGAGAAATTCTGGGTTAGAGTAGCAATGCGTATTTAATCAATATCAATGTCTTTAAATAACGTTTATATAACGTCTTTCTTTTTTCTTTTTTATCGATTTTAAAGATTCTATCTATTTCACGAGAGATAACGATTTAAAAATTAAAAAAAAAGAAACGTGTTTATCATTTTCGTTTTACTTTCGCGTGTTCATAAAATTTATATCGAAATCAAATTTATCCCACGTTAAATCGAGAAAATAAACACATTATTAATAATTAATCAACATGCATGAATAACGCATAAAATGAATTACAAATAAAGTCAGTCGTAATTTGATTATTACTGAAATATCATTTAGAATTGAAAAAAAGAGAGAATAACCGATAAAAAAGAATTTTTAAATTTAGAAAAATTCACACTTGACGCGGGTGGTTGGTAAAGTACATAAAATATCAACTGATAAACGTTATCAGGGAATTTCCTATATAAAATAGTCTGATAAAACTGATGTTTCTCTGTGTTGTGTGTGTTATGCATGTTACGACAATTGGTCACGTTGTTCAATTATAGTACATATACATTTTATAATACGTATATCACACAAGTGAGTCTTTATACACGTTAGTAGCTTTTCAATTATTCAAAATTCATTCTAACGAAACGTTTTTTTTTGTACAAAAGGTATCTTAGGGAATTTGGACATCAAAAGAAATAGAACTTAGTTTTGATAAGTTGGACGTCTCGTTCCTTTATTGGGACTTCTTCAGCAACTGGAAATTTTATTTCATTATTATTTTTATATTACGAAATACATGAGACCCATACATTATAAAATATTACATGTTACCTTAATCTCTAAAGTTCAGCGTCTTTTTTCTTTAAGCAGACATACATTTTTCTTTTTATTTATAATATTCAAAACACTATACATCTACACTTCGTTAAGTTTTAATCCGTTGTATTTGAACACTCAACAAAACTGTTTCAATCTAGATTAGTGTTTTTATAATTTCCTTTTTTTCCAGGGACTCGGACAGGATGTATCAATGACGTCAAGAGAAGAAGAATGGGGTAACGTTTTATGTCTTAGGGATAAATCATCCTTAAGTGTCGTCCTCAGAGATCGTTTGATGACGGATGCTGCATTGGGTGGACCACGTCCAATCAAATCCGAACACAGTTACAGTTTATTAGCTTCCAGTCCTCCACCGAGTCCAGCAACACCTGGAACTAATCCTTGTACACCGAAAAGTTCAGTATCTTCGACTAGTACGGCTCACACGTTGGCTGTTAACACCATTTCTTCGATTGATTCGAATAATTTGGATCATGGGAAATCATTGGATATTCGACCTAGATTCGATGGTGAGGATTATAAGATGAACAAAATTATTTCAGAGAGAGACATTTTTTTTCCTTATTATACTGTTTTATTAGAATATATATTAGGATTATTTTATTCGAATAGTTTTTTTTTCAGATAAAAATATAATATTATTATCTATATTGATAATTATGATAACAAATTAAGCAAAAACTTTAACGAATCAAAAAACTTTTAAGAAATATATAGAAATATATAGAACTTTAGAAAATACTGTATGTAAAGTAAAAGATATATGAGTCGTTTATTTTGAAAGTGGCATAAGTCACTTTTTTTTTTTTTTTTATTGAAAATGAAAAAATACCGTTGAATTTTAATTAGTGTTGCCATTAACTCGATTTTGTTGAAAAAGTGACTTATGCCACTTTCAAAATAAACGGCTCATATAGAAAATAACATCTATAGAATTAATTAACACAAATATTTATATTGTACGCGTTAGATTTTATTGCTTTAACTAACCATAAACATGGAATATAATAGTGATTGATTTAATTACAGATATGGAGGATGAATGCTTTCTAGCAATTTCAATGAATTCGTCTCGAAACGAGGATCAATCGTTACCGTTACCACTTCAGACCACTTATACTTCTACGGTAATTTTGAAGAAACCTAATGTAACACCTGAAGATAACGATTATTCGGAAATCAAAGGGGAACCGTTAAGCGCACCTGGTAGTCCTTGTACACCTTGTCCTTCGTCGAGCACAACCATAGACGATAAAAGTACGATAACAATGGTGTCACCACAAAATCTACACTTTTCTAGGAATCAACTTGCACCTACGAGCGATAGCGAGGAAGACGATGAGGAATATTATCAGGTATATATATTATTTATTTATTAATAATATTTATATTTATTTTATATACCTATATGCATTGTATATTAATCATAAGATTTGTAATAGTTATGAATAAATTAGTAACTTTAGTAAATTAATTGCTGAAATTTGATGAATGTAATATGTATCAAAACAAATATATATTTTAATTTATTATAAAATAAATTAAAAATATATATATATATCAATATTATAGTATATATTACGTTATATATTTTATATAGATTTAATATTTAATTAACTAAATATCAATATATCTTATAGAGTGCATCTATTAAATAAATTATTTTAATTGTTGTCTCTCTGATATAAATACTTAATATTTGATTATAGTATTGTATTAATTGTATTTATATAACGTGATTGAGATTTATTATGTTTCTATTATTTATATCAGAGTATGGAGGTAGAAGAATATGGTGTACCAAGTGAAGAATACGAAGGAAGTCACACATCTAGACAAAGTTTACCACCAACACCACCTAGCAGTGCAAGCTCAGATAGCGAAGGAACAGCATCAGCTTCCTGTTCACCTGAACGTCGAGATTCTCAACATTCAACACATTCTCAGAATATCAGAGGTCTTTTAACACCTAGACTATATGTTACCAACCCAACACATACAACAAGACAACCCATTCACACACCTTTAATTTCCTGTCAGCCGGTAAATAGATGTTTAATTAAATATCGATCGATATCCAACTGAAAGATAAAAGAAATTGTATTACTTTGATTCAACGATGATATTGCAGAAAGGTTCAACTGGTGTTTTGACGTTAACGGAAGAAGAAAAAAGAACTCTTATTGCCGAGGGTTATCCTGTACCCACTAAATTACCTTTAACGAAACAAGAAGAAAAATCTTTGAAAAAAGTACGCAGAAAAATAAAAAATAAGGTAACACATTTCGTTTAGATTTTATTTTATCGAAAAAATAATAATTAACACTCTTTGCAATCCTATATATGAATAATTTTTTTTTTTTAATTTGTATATATATTTAATATAAATATGTTATTTATATTAGTGTTAAGTATTAAATTACTTCGTTTATGCTAAATAATTATATACTCTATTCGAATATTTGTTATAAAAAAATGTAGAAAATTTCTTCTAGACACCTGACATATTAAAATAACGATGAATTATTCAATTTCATTAAAAATTAATTGCAAAACAATAGTTTGAATAATTCGGATCGCAAAGAGTTGTACGATTTGTATACGTGTGTCTAACAATAAGTGTATTATTTTTTATTCTCTTTTTAGATATCGGCACAAGAGTCACGAAGAAAGAAGAAAGAATACATGGACGGCCTAGAAAGGCGAGTTACCATATTGACAAACGAAAATTCCTCGTACAGGGATCGTTTAACAATACTTGAAGATACGAATCGTGAATTATTAAAAGAATTGGCACGCGTGCAAGCACTTTTAGAGCGCCAATAATCTTAGCTTATTTTTCTTCTTCTTCTTCTTCTTCTTCTTCTTCTTCTATATAGAAAACAAGATTTTGCTAAACCTTTTTTTTTTATCACCGATTGGGAAAAATGTTGCGTTTCTTTTCTTATTTTACTTTTATTTTTTCGAAAAAATGATCCTTTAACTTTTAATAATATTCTAATAACGTCAGAGATAAATAATATTCACATTTGCATATTTAAATTCCAATGAGAAAAAGAAAACAAAACAATAAATATTAGAAGTTTATTATATTACGAGACAATTTATTATGATAATCGTTAACAACGTTGAGACTTGAAAACAAAATTTTCAAAACAGAATAATAGTAGTGTTCCTATTGATTCTTTTTTTTTTTTTCTTTTACTTTTCTTTGATGGAAGAATATTTTGGCGTTTATGATTTAAAAATTGAGTTTCTGGGACTGGTGCAATTTTGTTATGTTCGTTAGACTCGCAAAAGTCTTCCCGTTTAGAATTGCGAATAAATATGGGCTGACGAGTTCATCGTACGCGATTGTAATAAATATAGATGCAACAATTTATCGTATGTTAAATTGTTGTCTCGAGTTCCTTGAGTTTCATTGTCTTCCTAAGATTATCAAGAAGTGAAATGAAATCATACGACGAAATAAGATGAGTATTTTATAGATTACTATTATGATGTCTTAATAAATCTTCGAACTGGATATAAATACGTGATTTAGCCAGCAGTGCCTTCGTATTTTTTTAAATAGTTTTGTTTTTTTTTTATTATTGTAATCAAAACAAACAGAGGACGAAAAACAAACATATATATACATATATATATAGAGAGAGAGAGAGAAAGATGCAAATATCGTATATTTTAGTACAATTATATTTTTAAAAAAAAGCATTTCCTTTTTTTAATTCGTCATTCGTTGTAAAGCATTTTTTAAATCTTACGTTCGGTTTTCTAACGAGATAAAAAAAAAAGAAGAAAATAATTCTATGATAGAAAGGTGGGGTGGGGGGTGGAAGAGAGAGGGAAGGAAGTATTTTTAATTGAAATAACGAAACCGAACTTAAAGCGACATCGAATATGATTGCCAATATTATATTGTGGTGAGAATTCTTTAAAAATTCGTCCAAATATTTATGATCATATTTCAAACGAAACTACTAGCAGCATTCTACACTTTTGTGTATAATTTAAAAGTCACTTGGCACTTGCGAAGAGAATAAACTATATATATACGTGTGAAATATGTGTATTTAAAAAGAAAAACAAACAAAAAAATACGAAGAAAAAAATGTGAATTTAAAACGAGAATGAATATGACGGATTGAATGAATTGAACGAGAGTATATAAGCATATATATAAATTATAATAAATTAAGAAAAAATAATATAATAGATAAAGAGAGAAGATTAAATAATCGAAAAAAAAAGAAGAGTAACAAAATGATTAATCGAAATGTCCCAAATATATTTTCCATATAATTTTTTTATAATATAAAGATCATTTATCTAAAATACGACGTAATAGAAAAATAATAAAAAAACAAAAAAAAATATATCTAAATATCGTTCGTTCTTATTTAAGTGTTTTGTGCAATTGCTAATTAAAAAAAAAATGAATCATTCCAAAAAGACTTTATGAAAGAAAAAAAATATATATTCCAGAGAAAATTTATAAATCATATACGTTAAAAGTGTACTACTACTACTACTACAATCGAGTTATATAAAATTAATTTTTAAGAGTTTATATAGAAATATATATATATATATATATATATATATTCCATTGAAAAATTCACAGATATTTATACGAAAAGAAAGATATAATAACTTATTATATCAATGCACACGCGGTGAGAGATTTTATACGAAGTGTTTACAAACGAGTTTTAATCGCCTTAAATGACAATTTCGTATTTTCATGTGTATTTGTGTGAAGATAAATAATTATTCATAGTCCGTGTGAAGCTCGAAAAAAAGAAAAAAAAACAAACAAAATATCGTAACGCCTAATTTCAAGACTAAAATGATGTATTTATGGTATACAATATTAAAACTGACCTCAAATCATAAGCCAACTCTAAGAGAAACAAATCGTCGAAGTTGGAATCTTATTTTATTTTTTCATATTTTAAGGATATAATATAAGGTGTATGATAAGTAAAAAACTACACGTACGTGTATGCGCATTATAAGTATTGATTATTGAAATCGTGTGTGCGTGTGTAAATTATGATTGTATGGTATCGAAACACCGTGATTTCTATTTCAATTTTGTTACCAATGTGCGTATTCATAATTGTCAAATGGAATTATCTATTGTTATTGTTAAGTAAGAAAAAGGAAGACAGTAAGAAAGAAAGAAAGAAAGAGAGAGAGAGAGAGAGAGAGAGAGAGAGAGAGAGAGAGAGAGAGAGAGAGAGAGATAGGGTGTATAAATTCATTGTCATTATCTAATTATCGTGTATAGGGACCAATCGAAGCTGAAATCGTTTCTTCTAATAGTTTTTTTTTTTTCTTTTATTTCCGTTCTTCGATACTGCCAAATGATATAGCGAGAATGGTATACCGGTTATGGTATAAAAAAAAAATGTGGTTTAAAAAAATAATATTTCTTTTTAACGTTTGTTCTATCTCTTACTTAGAAAAAAAGAAAACACAAAAAACAAAAAAAAAACAATAAGTACATTCAATAAGACATTTGAAATTCAAGAGGGAACAAATTTTTTATTTCTGTTAAAAATTTATTGTTTTCTTTTTATTTTGTTTGTTTCGCATCGGTATCCTCTTTTTGATAAGGATTTCAAATTTTCGTAATAATTATTCGTATATACACGAGTATGAAACGCTTTTATCACATTATACGAAAGATATTTCAAAATAATTTATTGCATTATTTAAAATTGGCTAAGTAAGGTCAATGTGAGAGAGTCAATATGATTGATCGATGACGTGTTACGTATAAGAGAAAAAAGATCATTTATATAAATCATTAATAATATATATAAATATATTCGAGAGTGTGTAGTAAAAAGAAAAAATGAAATGAAATGAAACGAAACGAAATGAAATGAAATTTCTTTATAGAATGATGAGTCTGACATATAAAAGAAAGAGTTTTACCGATAAAAAGAGTTTAATATATTCTATGATAAAGCTTTATATATATATATATATATTATAATAATTATACAGATGATATTTCTATATAGAAAAGATTATGTATATATATATAGCGAAGAGAAAGAAAGCAAGAAAGAGAGAGAGAAAAAGAAAGAAAAAGCTCGTACTGTTGTCCGTTATTAATCATTATTTTTCAAATACGATTTTACGATATTCTGACTTATAGTCATTCTTCTAATTGGCGCGCGATTATCAAGCCAAAATAAAGAGGATAAGAGAATTATGTGAGTTTAATGAGTACTATTGCGTGCTCTATGTATACGTGTATGTGTGCGTGTGTGTAAGTGCGTGTATGTATATTTATCATGAATTTCCTACGTACGAATACATGTAGGTAGGTTCTATTCGTCTCTTCTCTTTTTGCGTGTGTTAAGCCTATTATATTACATATATATATTTATATGTAAGAGCTTAAATGCGCCTAATATGGTATATTATTTTTGCCACGTGACCGAGTTAGCACGTGCCGGCCGTTCGTCAACTTCAAATGGATGTTGTTTGACAATAAGAAATAAACGAGTGTGTTAAAACACGATAATACGAATTATGGTTGTCGCATTCAGATCCAATGAAATAATTTTCCCTTTAATCGAATTAAGTTAGTTTGTGATTTTTTTTTCATTTTTATACAAGTATTATATATATATATATGTTGTTATATGGTATACCCATAGAAATCATGATCACTTATAATACAAATTATATTTTTATTAATATTTTTTTTTTCTATAAATACATTGACAAAATCAACTTTAATTTATTTTTGTATTGTACAATTAGAACATGATCAAATCTGATTCGTTGTAGTGGACATTTTAATTTTTAAGTAGTTTGAAATTGAATTAGCAGGGGGATAACAATATTCGTTTATTAATTAATCGAAATCAACATTAATAACAACACAACGGTAAGAATTAATTATTCGATATTCATCTGGATATCATCATCCTCCTCATCAGTATTATTTTTCACTCTGTTTTTCAAACTTGTCAGGCTTAATGGTAGATCTACGTTGATGAGTTCTCGTTCCTCTATTCTGAAGTTTTTGTCCCTTTTTGACCTGTAAAGAGGATTTTCAAAGTTTCCACCAGTAGAAGGACCACCACCCTCTTCTTCCAACAACACCTCTTCCCCATTAATGAGCTCTTCGTTCATCTCATGTTCCCGTCTTCTTCGTTGAGAATCATCTATTCTCACATTACCTTCAAGGACATTCTCGAAACGTGCAAAACTAAACGGTTTATTCGATTTATCTTTCACCGATGACCAAGCTTCAGATAATTCTGACAATACGCTGCAAAACAAATAAGATTATTTTTGTTATTTTTTTCAAATAAAAAAAAATTGACACAATACAATAAATAATATTATTCAATATATTAAAAAATAACTATATAATAATAAGATAAAATTATTGCAAAATAATTTCGTTTTATTATTTTCATTTAAATCGATAAATAATAAATAATATAATTAAAAAAAAAAAGTATATGTGAGAAATTATTATAGACGAAGGAAAGAAAAAAAAGTCATGCAATTATAATAACAATCCATCTTTCTAATATTCGTTAATTAACAATGTTTAAAATAAATGAGACAATGAATCTTTTGTATTCTATACGTTTGATTAATGTTTAACTTGGAAAATTTAGAGAGAATTTCTTCTTCCAGGTGACAAATTAGCAAGATTTATCTAGAATTACTTGATACTTGTCGATGGGGAAATAAAACTCGGATTCTAACTATCGGGCTAATTAAATGTTACAAGCTTCGTCTCTATTTGCTCGTAGAAAAGAGAGTGTGAGAGAGACAGAGAGAGAGTTAGAAGCAAATAATGGATGAGAGAAAGCTGAGAATGAAAAAATATAGTAATGAAGAAATTAACTCCTCTCTGCTAGAAGGATGAGAGAAAAATAAAGTAAATGAGATTGTAATCTATTTCTCTATGTGCTTTTTTCCACTTCCGGTACTTTGCTAATTAAAATACTCGACATTTATCTCTTTTTTTCTCATTTTTTTTTTCTATTCGTTTCTTTAATCTTCTCTTTCCTTTTCTTTTAGCTTCTTCATGCATCTCTCTTCATTTCTTTCCCATTTTTTTCTTTTTGTTTTTTTTTTATACGGACCCGCCTCCCCCCCGAGACACCATATTGGATTTTTTTCAGACGCCACATTGAATCTTTCTATAAGCGAAAAATGTTAAAAAGATAAAGTGTGTCCTTAATAGTTAGTTAAATTAATAGAAAGTTTTCTTCAAGAACTAATTCGATTTTACCTTTTGACTTAAAATTTTTTCTGATAAATGTTAAGAAACATTGTTAACAATTTTTAACATAATTGATGAAATTTATAAGTTAATTATTATCGAATTAATGTCGACGAGAGAAAAGTTATTAGTAATTTCTACTTACTATCTCATCGAGTAATCGAAGTACCAAAATCCAATGAATAAAAGTACAAGGATGATGATTGGTGCTCCGAACAATGGTCCAAGCATCACAGCCAATCGTGAATCTTTTAATGGTGCACCAGTATTTTCCGTATACAATATTTCTATATTTTCGTCTAATGTGTTTTTTAAACATAAATATTTAGCATAAATAACGACACATATATAACGAAAAATATTAATATATTATTATGTTATTTTTATTCTTAAATATACGTTGTTTAAGAAACAATGTTTAAATTCATTGATCCAAAATAAATCGTAAATGATTGTAATGTGGTTAATCTCGTAACTTACCACGAAGTTTTGTTTGTAGATCCTCTAGTGCTATTAGAGTATTGGCACCTGTATAGTCACTCAGCTCTTTGATAAGAACTTCGATATTACCCGTCCATGTTCTTCTAACATGCCAAGCAATACTTGTTGCTCGTTGTTCGAGAACTTCGTCAGCTAAAGAACGGATTATCGCTAATGAAACTCTCTTTGGTATAATTATTCGACCACCACAATAAAGACAACAATGCCCTTCGACCTGAGGAATTTATATAGTTTTTACTTTTACCTTTATAATAAATCATTTATAGTTTGAAAATGTTTTCAATCTAACCATATAGAAATAAATAATGTTGTTATATTTTCTTACATAGTCATAAAACTTACTAAATTTGATCCTAATTAATTATACAAACCTGCAATGGATATTCGCATGCTGCAAAACCACATTTAGGTCCTTGAATAGCACATATTTCTTTTAAATAATCGTACAGTGAACCATCTTGACAACGACAATTGTTACAACCATATTGACTATACCTTCAAAGATATTTTATTCGATAAAATGTGAAATTTTTGTTTTGTTTTTTTTTTTTTTGCGTTGAAAGATAACGAAACGTACTTAACACTAAGAAAACCACCTAAAAATTCTTTTCTTCTTTGCATCTCGTCCCAATCCCACCATGTACTCGGATACTTGTGATTGGATAATCTGACGGATTCAACTTGAATTTCGTTAGCTGGTAAATGTATATTAAATGTTTCATCGGTTCCTGGTAATACAACGTCATCTTGACGACAAGGTACTCGTTCCATGTGCGGTGCTGCTTCGGAACCACCTTTCCAATTATCAGGATCACTCCAAAAATATTTGCCCTCTTTCAACCATTTCGAAATTTTTCTATTCGTATTTTTCGAATAGCTAAGCTAAAATTATTCGAGTGTTAGTTAATATTTGTAATTATTTGTTATTTAAACTAATGATATGTTTTATTTTATACTTGGTCCGATAATGTTTTAATCGTGTAATTAAATTAAAATTGGTTATACATACATACATACATACATACGCGTATTAATAACAAACCATTTTTTCTAAGAATTTAATTCTAACATTTTAATTCGAAGAAATAATCAATTCTTCCGTATAATTTATTAATAATAGTTTTATTACGATACGTATATATAATCACTTTTATGTTGAAAAAAAAAACAAATGAAAAATCATAAATTTCTATTAGACAATTCATTTAATATTATATCTAAGCATAATTGATTTAATAATTAACGTAAAAAAGTATTTTGTTAGATAAATCTTACCTCTAATTTACCATTTCTGAATAAAACCAAAGAACCGTCCTTCGGTAAATCGATTCGAGATAATTTCAAGTCAGCTGATTTAGTAAAACCAACAGCGTGTTTAGTTTCAAGCGGGAAAATAACGTGTCCATCGATTTCTGGTAATTGATCCCAATTTTCTTTAGTCTCCCATCCAAAATCAATTATCCACTGTTTTTCGATGGCAAATATAAATTTGATTAATGTAAGAAAAAGAAACACGATTTGCGAACACTTCAAAAACTTCATAATTGTTTATGTTAAAATTTCGATCTAATTCACTGTCAATTTCATTTTAAATTTTTATGATATAATATATATATATATATATATATATATA